CCACCCCAAAGCCACGAATGATCTCTCCCAGCGGCTTTACATAAATATTGAACAAGAGGGGGGAGAGGACCGACCCCTGAGGCACCCCACAAGTGAGGGGCCTAGGAGTCGACCTCTGTCCCCCTGCCAATACAGACTGCGTACGGTCGGTGAGGAAGGAGGAGAACCACCGCATAACGGTGCCTCCCACTCCTAACCCTCCTAATACACCTACAAGGCATTATGTTGGATTTTGTATGTATTCACTGAATTTATGCCCTGCCTTTCTGTTTTTCAGCATTCAAGAGAGTTTACCATTATAAAGTATAAATCAAAACAAAATTAACAAAGTTAAAACCAGAACAAAACTAATCTAGTCATTAAAAATAAGTAATAACTAGATGCTTGGCAAAAGAGAGATTTCCCTAAATACTGCAAGAATTGAAAGCAAATGGTTCAGTTTAGGGAGTATGTTCCATAGCTTGGCAGCCATGGAGGAGAAATTAATCAAGGAGGGAACCAACCTATAACTAAGGAGAAATTTCTTGACGGTTAGAACACTTAATCAGTGGAACAACTTGCCTGCAGAAGTTATGACTGCTCCTATACTGGAAGTTTTTAAGAAGAGATTGGACAACCATTTGTCTGAAATGGGATAAAGTTTCCTGCTTGAGTAGGGGTTGGACTACAAGACCTCCAAGATCCCTTGCAACTCTGTTATTCTGTTATATATTTGATGGGAGCATTTTCAGAAGGTCCACTCATTATTGCCCTGGAACACAACCACCCTAAATTTTGTCCAGTTGACAACTAGTAGCCATGCAGATCTTTCAGGGCCAGCATCACACGATTAATGTACCTTGCACCAGCCAGCAACCTGGCTACTGCGGAGTTATGTACCAACTAAAGTTTTAGTTATTTATTTGTCAAATTTATATAGTCAAAATTACCAGAAAAGTCTGGATTCTTTTCAAGTTTAGCTGTTGAAAAGATCTTAGGAGATTACGAAACATTTTGTGTACTAATATTTCACTGCAGTTAAAAGACAGGAAACTGCAGAGCTTGTTGTCATTAGTATAGCTGATGCATTCCCCTCTGAATGACCTCTGTTGCCATTTTCAGCACCATAAAAGACAACACCAACCTCTGAGGGACATCATAGGTCAATGGCCCTCAAAAGCTCCCAACACTATTTTGTTGACAAGTACTGACATGAAGGACCACAGCAGTACATCCAAGGCCTAACCTTACTAGATGACCTAGAAGGATACGGTATCACAAGCTGGCAAGAAATCCAAGAGAATCAGTAAGGTTGCACAGCTTACCAATCTCCTGTGATAGTTATCTACTAAGGAGATCAAAGGAGTTTTGGCACCATGTAGACTAAATCACAATTGAAATGGTTCCAGAAAATCAGCTGTGAGTGAGTTTGGTCTAGTGCAGGGATCTTCAAACTTGGCCCTTTTATGACTTGTAGACTTCAACTCCCAGAATCCCTCAGCCAGCGTGCCTGGCTGAGGAATTCTGGTAGTTGAAGTCCACAAGTCATAAAAGGGCCAAGTTTGAAGACCCCTGGTCTAGTGTTTAAGGCACCAGGCTAGAGATCAGGAGACTATGAGTTCTAATCTGGCTTTAGGCATGAAAGCTGGCTGGATGACTTTGGGTCAGTCACTCTCTCTCAACTTAATCCACCTCCCAGGGTTGTTGTTGTGGGGAAAATAGGAGGAGGAAGGTCCATTGGATATGTTCACCACTTTGGATTATTTATAAAAATAATAAAGGCAGGATAAAAATAAATTTTAAAAAATGCTGCCTTAGAAGCCAAAGCATGCACACACACATAACTCACATACTACTGTTTGCTACATTTCTGCTGACAAATCATGTGCTCAAGCTTAAAAGAAGTTGGTGACATAAATATGAATCACTACATCCTCCCACTCTTTATGTTATATTGCTGCTATTGCTATTTAATTAACAGTTCATGGTGCAGACACTGACGTGTGCATGACAATTCTGTTTATTATTAAGACCCATGTGATGACTTGGCACCTCACAGCCCTAAATAAAGTGTAACTCTCACCTAGCTGCAGCAGAGATTATACTGTCTCTTCTATAGAGACATTAGAACCAGGAACATTGCACCCCTTTTTGCAGATTTCCCAGGATATAGAATTTTGGCAGAGCAATACCATCCAAATTTTGCTTTCCTGCCTCTAAGACCAGGAACCAAATTCTGATCTAGCAAGAGAAACTTTATTCTGCCTGCTTGCTTTTTCCCTTGTGAGCTTTTAAAGAATATAAAATATATATTTTTGTTTTCCTTTCCGCATTTTGGACAGCAAATTGAATGAATGAAATGAAAATGAAGCTTTCCTAAAGGACGGCATGTCCAGGCAGATGCACTGGGGATTGATTTTCTCAAAGGAAGAATCGCTGCAGGGGATTAATGTGGGATAGAAAAGCAAACACGGGGAAAGTGAAGTGTGATCCCAATGACTAATTGAACTGGGGAGGAGACACTTTCCCCTAAAATCTGTGTGGCTTCCAGTTTAATTACAGCAATGCTGAGCACACAAGAGTCTGCTTGGCTCCTACAAAAGCCTCTGGGGACAGGCACTGTGGCTGTAGCACTGAACATCTAACATCCAAAAACAACTAAAAAGGATTCAGTTGCTATTGCTATTTGACTTCAGTTTGGGGAAAGGATTTTTGAGGAGGGAATTTAAAATGGAAAGTTTTATTTCTAAAATTCACATAATTCTATCAATGCTCTGGGCCAATCCTGTGCTCCAGCCATTTCTTTTAAATAACAACAACAACAACAAAAACAATACAGTTGGAAGGAACCTTGGAGGTCATCTAGTCCAACCCCCTGCTCAGGCAGGAAACCCGATACCATTTCAGACAAATGGCTGTCCAGTCTCTTCTTAAAAACTTCCAGTGTTGGAGCATTCACCGCTTCTGGAGGCAGGTTGTTCCATTGGTTAATTGTTCTCACTGTCAGGAAGTTTCTCCTTAGTTCTAGGTTGCTTCTCTCCTTGATTAGTTGCCATCCGTTGCTTCTTGTCCTGCCTTCAGGCGCTTTGGAGAATAGCTTGACTCCCTCTTCTTTGTGGCAGCCCCTGAGATATTGGAACTCTGCTATCATGTCCCCCCTCGTCCTTCTCTTCGTTAAACTAGACCAGGGGTAGGCAACCTTGGCTCTTTTATGACTCGTGGACTTCAACTCCCAGAATTCCTGAGCCAGCCGTGCTGAGGGGAAAGGGGGAGGTTTCCAAGCTGAGCCATGCTGGCTCAGGAATTCTGGGAGTTGAAGTCCACCAGTCATAAAAGAGCCGAGGTTGCCTACCCCTGCACTAGACATACCCAATTCCAGCAACCGTTCCTTGTACGTTTTAGTGCGGAAGACATTTGCAGTGTCCTTTCCGCAAGACTCCTTGACAAAGGGATAGGTTAAGAAACCCATGGAAGCTCATCAAAGAGAACTGCAAGGAATGTAATTTGCACCCAGAAACGGGCTAAGCTTTGCAACTAGTTCTACCTTTACTTTTTCCCCTCCAAGAAATGTGGTTTTAGAACTGAAATCCCCTGGAGAACTACCTGCAAAACAAAATTGACTCTGCTGCACATTTTCATCTCCCGATAGCCCTTTCCCTTTCAAGCTCCGTATTAATGTAAACTGAACCAACTTTGTGTAAGATGAGTCAATTGTCAGGATGGCTTTGTGTAATAAAAACCTTCAATTTCAGTAGGAACTGTTAGATTTTTTTTTTAAGCATCAGAGAGCATGCACTTTCTTTTTTTAGGAGAAATAAGATTGTGATTACAATGTGCTATTAACAAAAGTTGCTATTCCTAACTAGTGATTATGCAAGATTAGAATCTTAACACAAAATCACTGAGCTATAATTATATTAGATTGCGTACCAATTGCTTGAAATGCAATTGGGGGGCAATTAACTCTGTGGCAATTATGTTACTTTATATAATACTCTTCTTTTGTTCTGTTCTACACTGTACACTGTTGTTCTCAAACACTGTTTATTTTTTATT